AACTAACCGCCTAATCATTAAAACAATAAAAACGAATTCATTTTACAAGAATACTACTGCTTTAAGATTAAAAAAATGTAAATTAGTAAGTTTTCATGTTAATTAAATTACTTTATACAAAAAGACCATCAGTCGACCATTGTCAGACCACCATTAGAAACCAGGAAGCACTGGACGGCCGTTTCGTCCTGGTATAGAACTCATCAGCAGTGCGCATCCACGGCTCCTGCACCTCACAGGATTCAAACCCGGTACCTTTGGTATTGTGCACGAACGCCTAACCATTGGACCACTGGGTCGGCATCTAACAATGAGTGATTGATGATTTCAAATGTGTAAAAACACTAATCTCCATAACTCTAATTGAAAATATTGTACAAAAAGAGTCAAAAATTAGGCGAATACACATTTCAATCTGCTCATTTGACCTTTTGATATCACAGGTGTTGGTCAGTGTGTATTTAATTTCAATCATACCACAAAATTCCCTACGTTTAAAAAAACATAAATAGACAGAGGATATTCATATTTTTAAAATAAATTCTCGTTATTTTCTACAATTACGTATTCAAATAAACCATTGAAACAATGACCAAGTTTAAAACAAAAATACATCGTTTAAAATTATCGCATACAGAAATATATTCGCTTGTTTCAGTGATTAACTTACAGACATAGTTTACTAGGGAAAAAAGTGTGCGTCATGCCATAAAACCTCCATTTGCAAAACAAGAGTATTCTGGGAGGGTTTTTTCGTCACATGTTGTCCTATGATCTTCAAAAGATTCCGATCACGCTATGCACCGGATCCAACATTTCTCGCTTCATCAGTAACTTCAAGCCGACATTGCGCTGTATACCCACTTCATACTATTTATAAGCTTCGTTATGAGTAGCATACACCACATTTTCATCCTAATGCATGCATATGTTTTTGGAGAAATCAATTTAGCCCCTATCTATATTTAGCAATTTGAAATTAATTCATACTATCCTATAGATTACGTAATGTTTGAACAAACATTTATTTCCATTTGTAATTAAATTGTTATCTCTCATACCTGAATCGATTCATACTTATTCTAATCAGTAATCTCACAATTTCATTGAACATACAAATGTGTTCGGGTTAAAACTTCTCATTAATCAGCTAAACATTAGGTTGGTGACTTTTCTACATTCTAGCATCCAGAGTTATTAGTGATTTACCACACAAATTATAATTTGGAAGTGTACTTCCTATTGTTAAGTTTCTAGATGGTCAACACTGGTTAATCATTGTTGTGGAGGTTTCGTTCTGTGAGCTGGATGTTTTGGTTGTGAAGCTTTCATTGTTTTTTTTCTGAACAACATTGAAATACGAAAACTTCACTTGTATCTGAATTTTATGCTGATCATGTTGTTCAGAGAAGCAATAAAAGCTCCACACCTAAAACAGATTATGAAACAATCAACTGAATGGACCTCACCACTCTACATCAACTACATTGACTATGAGAAAGCACTTGATTGCGTGGAAATGACAACACAACCGAGTCTTCTTTGACACTATGGCGTATCTGAGAAGAAAGTCAATATTGTACAGAATTCTTACGATGGATGAAACTGCGAAATCGTACACGAAGGATAGCTAACAGACTCATTCCAGGTTAAGACCGGTGTCAGATAAGGTTGTGTAATCTCACCCTTTCTCTTTCTTCCAGTAGTCGACTGGATTATAGAGTGAACATTTAGAGGGAAGCACGGGATACAGTGGACAGCCACGATACAGATGGATGATTTGGACTTCTCAGATGATCTGACTCTTCTATCCCACACGCAACAACAAATATTAGAGAAGATCAGTATAGCGTCAACCTCAGCAGCAAAAGGTCTCAACATACATAAACGAAAAAGCAAGATTCTCCGAAACAATACAGATGCAGATGTAAAAACTTGGATTCGCAAAGCAAGGGCTTTATTGTACAATTGAAGAACATCTGAAACTCAAATCAACTATCAACCAACATCAAAGTCAGAATTATCAATGCAAATGTCAAGACAGTTCCATTGTATGGGGCTGAAATTCGGAGAACAACGAAACCCATCATCCAGAAAATACAAGTATTCATTAAAAGTTTTCTGCGTAACATACTGCAGCTCCGTTGGCCAGACACTGTCAGCAACAACATACTGTAGGAAAGAACAAACCAGATTCCAGTCGAGGAGGAAATCAGGAAGAAGAGGTGGAAATTGGATTGGACACATTGAGGAAAGCGCCCAACTACGTCACAAGACAAGCCTTCATTTGGAACCCTAAAGGTCAGAGGAAAAGACGATGGCCAAGAAACAAATTAGGCTGAGAAATGGAAATAGATATGAGAAGAATGAACAAAAACTGGACAGAACTGGAAATGGAGTCTCAGGACACAGTAGGTTAGAGAATATTGGTCACAGCCTATGCTCCATATGAGGTAACAAGCGTAAGTAAGTAAAGTCTCACCTAAAACACCCAGCTCAGAGAACGGATCTCTACCACAATCATCCACCTGGGCTACAAATTATCTCCACCATTGGTTAATCAGTTTAAGAATGATCATTATCTCTTACCATAGTCAGTAATCCTTCGCAGAAGATTTATTATAAACTAGTTAAAATATTAAATATAACATCAAAAATATAATCGGTTGATGAATAGTTGAGATATCGATAAGCATACAAAATGATTTCGAACTTACTTACTTACTTACTTACTTACTTACTTACTTACTTACTTACTTACTTACTTACTTACTTACTTACTTACTTACTTACTTACTTACTTACTTACTTACTTACTTACTTACTTACTTACTTACTTACTTACTTACTTACTTACTTACTTACTTACTTACTTACTTACTTACTTACTTACTTACTTACTTACTTACTTACTTACTTACTTACTTACTTACTTACTTACTTACTTACTTACTTACTTACTTACTTACTTACTTACTTACTTGATGGAGCATAGACCGCCGACCAACGGTTAGCGGTTTTTCAGCCAGCTGGATTTCTACTAGTTTGGGTCGCTAGGTTCACACCCTAACCCTGCTCCTATATTCTGACTTAGGACCGGCAGTAACCCTAGAAGGGCTCCAGGCATATATCTAAAATGAAATTGTAAATATTATCTGCACATTTATATATCGTCTGATTTAGTTTATCAATTATTGAAATATTCAAAATACAATTTATTTTTTTAAGTGTGAAATAATAATTTAAATTATTTTAACTAATTAATTAGAAGATTAACACGAAATTAATTATCTTACTGAATGATTATGTATGATTTAAAATTTAAAACATTAATGAACGAATAAATTCTTAATTTTTCAAGATTTATTCTTTCCATACAATGACTATGGATTGTATGTTGACAGCACAATAAAAGTTTGAAAAATACATTTCTTATGCTTAAAATCAATAACTCAATATAGGTAGATCACTAAGGAAACAGGAAAGCTCTGAATAACCATCTTACTCAGTGCCTACCATGTGGAATCGAGCATTCGGACATTCGGTTTCGCACTCGAACGCCTCGTCTCTAAACCTCAGAGCTGGAATCCAGCCATGTGATTATCTAATCTTGAGTCCACTGATAATGTTGCCCGACCTAATTTCATTACTAGCAGTGGATAAGTATCTCACATTTAACTAATCTCAGTTTAACTCCACTGATTACAATCACTCACTTGAACATGCAAGAATATCCTTGAAATGCTCAAACCTAAAACACACATAAATGGTTGAGGACAGAACAAACAGTGCCTCATTACATAGCAATAACTAAGAAATAGTACGCCGCATAAAGACAGAAGCTTACAATTCATGAAATATACAGTGAAAATATAAAATATACAGGACAATTTTAATTTAGATATAATTCAAATTGAAAAAAAAAACAAAACAATAATAATCCAGACTATAATTGTCTAACATTTTGATTATTTCAAATAAACTGATGAACGTTTCAACAATTCCTTTGTTGTGTAAAACTAATCAACAAGTACGTGATCATTTTTTTTTTGAATATTGACACAATATTTACACAATCAACCAATCCAATAGCTTGATCAACAAAAAATTCCCGACAATTATCATCAATCATCATATCAAAAAAATAAAAATAAAAATAAAAAATTACTACACATTTATTTCATCAACCATAAATAGAAAAAAATAAATAAATAAATGAGACTCATTCATTTTTGAAATGTCGACCGGTATGGTGTAGTTTATTTTTAGACTGTACTTTTATTTATAAATAAATTATAAATTATTATTATTATTATATATTATTATAAATAATTATTATAAAATAATTATAAATAAATTGTACTAACTAACTAATTACTTATATATATATATTTATTTATTGATATAATGAAATAAAAAGATTTTTTTAATGAAATCAATTTATAAAAACAAACTAGTTTATTAATCAGTATGAAAATAATAATTTAATATATTTATTATTTGTTTTGCCGTTAAATAAAACATGCAAATAAAAATTACATTCCCTTCCCCGGCTTACGATTATTATTATTATTATTATTATTATTATTATCATTATTTATCCATGTTCAGTGTCCAATGTACAATAATTGTAATCATTTAAACCAATAGAATTCTGATCATTCAATTATACTACTTACTCCCCACCTAATTTGTTCGATACAAAGAAAAACGAGTGGGAAAAAACCAACCAAACAAACAAACAAATGAATATAAATACACTTAACTCCTCATGTCATTTTTGAAATAATCCTAATCAGTATGTATGACCTGTGGTCATTCATTATTCATCTATAATTAATTAGTGGACACCACAGCTGCTATCAATAATAACTTGACAATCATAATATTTATAACAATCAACAACATTTATTGACTTTAATTTCATAATTTAAAAAAAAAACAATTAGAAAATGATAAGAAATCATAAAACATTTATTATTTTACTAGTGTTTGTCAGCATGCTTTATCATCTATCTGTGTTCAATATTCAATACATTCAATGTACAACAACAGTCAATGATCTGCTAATTTATCCTAATCGACATAAAAAATTATTTAAAATAATACATTATTTAATAAGACAATGTGCACCATATTGTTTAAATTATGGTAGATTAGAAAAACCTGATATGCCATGGAAAAAATGTTATTGTATATGCCCTGATGGTTATTATGGTGTTGCATGTGAATTTAATCGAATTCATGAAGAAATCGATATTGATCAGAATAGTAATAATAATAATAATAATCATGAAGATTTAACATCTGATCTGCATAATTTCAAATCAAATACCCTACCAATTTCACATCGTCGTGCATCTACATCATCTTTTGTCACCGCTCATTCAATAAATAATAATCAAGAAACTGATGATAGACAATTGATTTTTGTAAAGTAAAGTAACTTATATTGATTCGAATGTGTTTGTTTTGTTTTTTTATTTATTGAACAATGAATGATAAACTGAGGTGTTTTTCTTTTTCAAATGTAAAAAAAAGAAAACAAACGAAAAAATTATCATCATCATAAAGAAAATGCAATAATTTCAATAATAAAAATATATTTATTTTTATATTTTTAATTTTAAATGTATATATGTATGCAACTATTGCAAAAGTGCGGACTTAATTTGAGGGACTTATTTAAAAATTGGTTTCAATTGTTCAATGACAAGATAGTGAATGTTTTAAAAAATTATATCCATCTACGTATTATGTGATATATTTATACGTATATACAAATTTTTAATGATGATCTGTTCTGTTTATTGAACACCGAATATTGAACAATGGAAATGTTGTATGTAGTTCATTTAAACAAAAGACAGTAAAAATGCCGAAAAAACTACATGAAGCTTTCATATTTTTATTAGGTACTCTATAGATGAGTTAAAAATAATAATGATTATTTGAAAAGTATATGTCCTTACTGTTGATAGTATTTAAGGTGAAATATTAATCAAGATAGAGTAGTGAAAGTCACAAAATGAATTATTTACAATTACTGGCATGAGAACATTCTAGAATGGTTTTTGAATGTTTCTAGAATTGCAAGAGAATCGTAAGTAGTGTAGAATATGTTGTTTCACTTACAAAAGAGATTCATTAAACAAGTAACCAAATAATCAAAATTTTGATAACTCAAAGAAAAGAACTAATATCATTAGCATATTTTTAAAAATTGGTTCCAGTTTATTTTTGAATATGTATGAACTTAATTCATGTCGTTTTTAAGAAAATTAATTTTGATAAAACTGGACAACTTAGGGAACTACTATTCAACAAATGTTAACTAGTTGACAAATTATGATTGATAGGGGATTGTTTAAAGCATATTTATCTGTTCTTTAGATAATTTCTTAACTGTTATGTACATATCAGGAATTCTTAAAACGAATTATTTTACTAGGATTATTAAAATAAGATTTGTAATAGAGAAAGAACTGTAAAGAATACCGCATATTATGGAATAGAATTTAAATAATGTCATTTATCATCCTGAAATCATGGATCGATTAATAATAGACCATTATTATAAACCTCGAACAATTGGACGGTTGTTTCGTCCGGGTATGAGACTCGTCTACAGTATGCATCCACGACTCTCGCTCACTATAATCGATCCTGGGACCTTCGGTCTTGTGTGAGAGTGCTTAATATCTAAACCATTGAACTGGCGTCCAATAGGTTCGATTCTTACAAGCGGGAATCGTGGACGCGCACCGATAATGAGTCTCGTATCGGGATGAAACATCAGTCCAAAGCTTCTGGGTTTCTAACGGTGGTCTAACACTGATCGACTGATAATTTCGAAGAAACCCAACAATCCCCACAACCGTATAATGAAAAATTATGATTTCATTAAAAAAATTTAAAACTTGTTAATGTGATGTGGTGTGTGCTACGTATACGAACAATATAAGTAGTATAAGAAGGGACGTGAAAGAAAAACTCTCACGGTCACAAGAGGAAAACGGCAATCAAACGGAGCAAAAGCAAGAAGTAAATAGAGTACCGACAGGAAGTAAAAGAAGCAACAGCAGGAATGGAAGAAGGCTGGAGCGTTGGAATGAGTCCTTCTAAGGTTACTGCTGATCTAAAGTCCAGATAAAGTCAAAATGTTGGTCATGGAATTAGGGACAATATCCCGCCGAAAACTATCTTGCTAGAAAATAAACTAACTAGAATGATTGGCGACCTATGCCACATTAGTTGTAACAGGGGTTATTAAGTAAATAATATAAAAGAACGATTGATGACGATTTACATAGATTTAAAAATGGAAATCAAAGTGATATCTTGATATTCGAAGTTTCATATGATTAGTGATCTCAATTGCGTAGTATAAAATGAATGATTAATGAGTAGACTTTGTTCAATATTAAATTTTCACACTGTACATTAAATTTATTTTCAGTTTTCATGTCTATAACATTGATCTAGAATTTATAATTAGTTCTACATTATTGTCTACAAGTAAAACCAAGTTGTTTTCAAAAAAAAAATTTGAAATTTTTAAAAAGTATCACGAAATCTCATTATTCAATGTTCAATTACTGAATTAACTTAAAGTAAAAAAATATATTTTTATTTCAAGATTTTCATGTAAAGCATCATGCTCTCTAAAAATTAAATCTAACCCAACTTCACAGGATCTTACACGTATTTCAAAATTAGGTTATTGCTCATAGTTTAGTGATTATTTGCTTAGTGATGTGTTTTAGTGAAAATAAATGGCATAATTTTGAATCTTAAAATTTCCGCTTATAGTTGTTTAAATTTTATAGGTCTTTTTAAACTATTTATATTTATTTTTCTGAAGATATTCAGTGAATGTCATTTGATGTTAATAGTTTTTTTCTTAAAAACTGCTAGAGATCTTTTCTGAACCAAAGTGCTGAAATGTTTTATTCACAACGAAGTGAAATAATTTATCATAATGAGGTTTACCTTGACCTTGATAGATTTTCATACTTGAATTGGGCAAAAAAGATCTACTTAATCGATTTCGCCTATAGTATTTATACAGTTTGTTTGCTAGTCTACCCCTAATTATGATTAATTGGATTGTTCTAGTCACAAAAAGTATGGTCTCTGTGAAACTGAATTACCAGATAATATTCATTATAGCGTAATATAGATTGTTGAGTTTCATTGAAATCAAGGAATCAGTCACTGTTAGACTACCGTTAGAAATCTGGAAGCACCGGACTACTGGTTCGTCCTAGAGTAAGACTGGCTCATTAGCAGTACACATCAATGACCTACGCACAGAGGCATTGAAACCAGGACTTAAGGTTTTGTGATCGGTGGGAAGCCGAGACCAGTGCAGTTCAACACTATCGACAATGAGGCAGTTATGCAGCGAATATAATGGGTGTGCTTACGCATTACCTTGGTTTGACTGAAATCAAACATTAACACCGTTGAATACCGGCTCAGTGGTCTAGAGGTTAAGCGTCCACACGTGCGACCGAAGATACTCGGTTTAATTCCTGCAAGCAGGGTTGTGGATGCACACTACTGGAGAGTCCCATACTAGGATTTGACAGCCATTCAGTGCATCCAGGTTTTTAATGATTGTCCGACAGTGATCGATTCATAATTTCAATGAAATTTCAGATAATTTCTAGTAACTCAGTGCATAAATATTCGTAACTCACATACCTGCAGTTTTGGTTGTAAATCATTTTCTCTGAATTAAATGTTCTGATCAAGTAGAGAAAGTTTGCAGTTCATAAAACAAAACTCTACAGAAAACTTGGCTTTCTATTACTACTTACATAATACCTGGATTGATATTATACACATTGATATTAGCAACAGAATTCCGTGAATAAATTAAAACCACATAATAGAACGTTAATAATATTTCATTCAGTAACATATTTCTAAGCGAAAAAGTTTATACTCCTAGGCATTTTCCTTTCATACACACACACACACACAAAACAGGCAACTGAAGCAACATAGTACCCTAGATGAAATATACATAAAACCTTTCTCCAACCAGACTAATTTAAATTTCTTATTTTTTCTATCTTTTCAACCTTAAGAAATCAAAGAAAAACAGTAAGTATTATTTATTTATCCTTGTGAATCATAAAAATTTTCTCCCAAAACTACAACATAACCTTGTTACCTTGAATAATGTAGTTTAATCAGTCGAGTAAAAACTACATTTATTTTTTATATGTATGTCTATACAGATGTAGTAGCTATTTGACTTCAATTAAAATATCAAGGCATTGTGAATTTTCTTTCACCAAGAAGTTTCGATTTCTCTTTCATGTTAAAAAAAAATCAAGGAAATTAGTTTAATTACAAAAATGAAATAATAAAATCTACAAATATTTTGTTTTTTATTTCTTTGTGGTTATAATTATTACCATATTTTTTTATTTTTATGATTTTTTTTAATACAAACTATTAAGGTTGAAGAAGGAAAAAAAAAGAAGATACTTGTGTTTGTTTTTTTGTTCAACTGACAGGTTTTATTATTTTAAGTAAAAACAATTATTGAATGTTGAATAATAAACATTGAAATCTATTAAAACAAACAATTAGTACGCCATTTTTTTTTGTGAAAAAAAATTATTATATAGATACATCATTCATACCTGGATGTATTTAGGTATCAAATGTTAATGAAATTGAAAGTACAATTATTAAATGAATAGTACATTGAAATCAGTTGTTTAAATACTCAAGTTATAACAATAATTTAAAAATGATCGTTTATAGTTAGCAAAAACAAACAGAAAACTGTTGTATTCAAATGATAAGTGAAATAAGTTACTTAGTTATATACTTACACCTATTACTCCTCATAGAGCAGAGGCTGTCGACTAGGATTCCCCAACCAACTTTATCATGAACGTTTCTTTTCATTTGTTCCTAATTGCTATACACTCGTTTAATGTTTAATTTAAAAGCGGCCTGTTTGAAAATTTGGGCAACGTGTTTCCTAACATTGACATTTTTTGACGAATTATCTCTTTCTGCTTGTTTTATCACACTAATTCCAGTTATTAACCTGTCAGAGTCTTCAGGTGCGTGTACAAGAAGTTTACTAGCTATTGTTGCACAAGGTACTTAAAATTAAAATTAGAGACGTTGTGTTGGCTGAAAATATCGATTGAAAGCAATGAACGTTAATAAAATGTCGATTTTTGAACTGCGTACTTCCTACAGCCAAATACTATTTGTTTTGCAATGGAAATTTGTTGAAATATTCCCAAATTTGTTCTCTCCCACAGCAGCTTGTTGCTGACTGGATCTTACCAGCGGATCCATAGTGTCTTGTGTAGACAACTAGTTCATAAACACCGGTATCTTTTGGGTGACAGATTTTCACACGTCTTGAAGTTCCGATTAAAAAATCTGGTCTTAGTGTGGGTTGATAGCTGTTTTGAGTTCTAAATATTCTTCACTTGTAGAAATGCTGCCCTTACATTGCCATTTCGTATTTTCACATCTGCATCGTATCA